TAAATAGGTAACTCAAGTGCTTAAGGTGTCTTTACTGGGTTTTTGGAAAAGGATTCTTAAATGATTTCTCAGATTTATCTCTCCCATATTTTAAAACTTTGAATTTAGATTTAACATGATAAATTCTATCCTCATTTGAAATATTTTTCTTTAAATGTGAAAAACATATAATAAATGTAAGATAGCAAATTCCTAAATCTATTACCCATCTTTCTAACATGAAAGGTACTGCTAAAAAAATGACTTTGTGTTAAGTTTCAAATATGCTAGGCATGCTACTGAAGCGTATAACATGTTTTAAATTACATTAAATATACTACGTCCAAAAATATATATTCAAAGTATATAAAAATATATGAGCTCAAATAAATAGTAGTCACTAAAACCAGAACATTTTTTGGTTGTGAATACAAAGACTGCGTATCTTTAAGATGCTAAATCTCCCCAAAGTACACTTTTTAGCTGGATTCCAATTAAAAGGCATAATTCCAATTAAATGAGTGGCTTGGCCCACATAGTTTGATTTACGATGACTCTGGAGATAAGTGATCCCTATTCTCTTGGGTTAGCTCTAGATTCTTTAGGATTCATTGGGGAGCTCCTTGGGAATTATTGATTGTAATATAGACCACCATCATAGGGTTATTTTTTATCATTTCTTTCTCGAACACTGTAGCATTTGCTCTATCAACCAAATTATAGATGAATGGCTTGTGAAGAGAAATTAAAACCTATAACAGAGACCCATGGCATTACAATCATTAGTAGTTCAAGTCTCTGTCCTTAGTATTTTAGAATACTCTATTTAGTTTGGCCTTTTTAAACAAAATCAGTTTGGTTATATTCATAGGCCACAACTCTCTGGCCTTTGTCTTATTTATGTTTTTTTTTTCTTTTTTCTTTCCTTTACTCCAATATCATTCCTGAATTATATTTGATGACATTTCCTGATTCTTACTTATGGTATAAGGTCTTTATAGAATGCTTGGAAATGCACTCAACCAAATTCACACCCAAATTCCCCTTTATAGTAAAGCTCAAATTTGTGGAACTAATATAGTTTCAAGAAGAGTACAAAAGTTTCTAAAAGGTGCCTATTGATACCAATCTATATCATATCTATATCTATAAAATCAATGACAGCAATAACTGTCCTCACATTTAGGTAAACTTTACTTCATGGAAGTTACTGGGTGAGGCACTTAGAGCAGCAGAGTGGAGAAAAGACATGAATTTGCTTGTATTTATCTTAGAGTCTCACTGATGCCTTGGGAATGAAGCAAAGCAGTTTCTCTTGGTTGTGAGAGCAACTCATTTTACCCACCATATGTTTTTTTTTTACATATATTTTGCGTAATTTTAACTTGAAATACATGAGAGAAGAATCTATAATTTGGAGCACTTTTTTTTTTTCCCCAGAAACAACTTGGAAGGCTTTCAAGATATCTTGTGAAAATCTTAAATATAATTTCCCATGTTGAAAATATGACAATCTTTGCAAATGAGGCCTTCTTGGTCATATATGTAAATATGGAAATGGAATAGTTCAAGAAACTATCGTGACCACAGTTTTATAGATGCACTTTGTTCATTGCACTATTAGAAAAAATGCTATTTTGAGTCTCTGCTGACAGCTGCCTGTAGGCAAACTATTAGTGCGATCAGTTAAGCCGAAACAGTAATCATGACTGCTTCTTAAGATAATCATTTTGTAGCTTTTACAAATAGATTATGGTGATCTACTATTTAGGGATTCTCCTACTTTATTGGGCCCCAATTCCATATTCAGTGATAGAAAACCAATGTTGTTCATCTTTAGGAACTAGGAGCATGGTGCATGCTTCTCACAAACTTTATCTCCTATACATACCCTGGGAATGAGTATTCCACTAACGAAGTTCTCTGTCTTTAGCCCAAACATGTATGTAAAATATACTGCCTCTACAACGTCCACCATCACCCATCACAGCCAAAAGAAAATAAAATCAAATCTAGGGATGCTCGGGTGAACTCGGGCTCCCATGTAAAAATGTATTTTCTTTTGAGCATTTCTGCTGCTTCCCTCTAACTCCAATGCAGTACTGAGGGCTTCTGCTCTTTCGTTGTGTCCCACTGAGCTCGTACCTCTCCCCATAGGTGCTGTTCCACAGGACAGGTGCAACAGCCCCTTTATAATAACACCACTAGTCTTTTTATTTATTAATTTATTTTTATTAAATTCAACTTGCCAACATAGTATAAGACCCAGGGCTACTCTTTGCTAGAAGATTATGCTTGCCTTCCTCCTCTTTTCCTCCCTTCCCCCACTCTCCTCCTCTTTCCCTCTCTCTTGCCCTCCTGTTATTATATTCTTCCCTCAGGAATAGAAACTCCACTGCTATCTCTTGATAAATAATTAAGGCTCCCATTGGTCTGTCTCTATAGCGCTATCACTGCTCATTGATGACAGTAGCATCGTGGCATCCAGCTTGTGCGGCGTCAGGGAAATAAGAGAAGGCATCTTTCCTTTTCGTTCTTCGTCTTTGGCAGTCCCAATATGATGTTCTTTGTGGCTAAGGGTTTATAATTTTGTGTTCTTTAAAAATATTTTTAAAAGATTTACATGCTCTTTCCACAATCTGTATTGCTAAATGACTGATTTACTCATAGGACCTAAGTCCTTATTTTCTGGCATGAGTCCTCTCTTGGGAGATATCACATTTGCAGTCACATCAATTTTCTTGGACCAATAAATCAGTTTGGCAATCAAGACTGTACTGTTGGATATACTGACTCAACTTTTATTCTCTATCTACATATATTTTTGAAGGGGAAAATATTAGAGTATGTCAACAACAAATAGAGCCTAAGCATAGATAGATTTCTTTATCAATGAGTTGTAATGCACCAAACTGGTAATTATTGTTTCTGAATAGTTTTCAATGCTTGTGTTATTTACTGCAGCTTTTCTTGATAGCATTATAAAACATCATTGGTTTATAATACAATCAGCATCAAATTTGTTTTAACAACCTCATTATCATCATGATATAATATTCTGCTCGAATTTGAATTATAACTAGTGAAAAGGGATGTTAGTGATATTTACAAAAAAGGAGGTTTTGCTATTGTCTCAGTTATAGGAATTCTGGTAGAAATAGCATAGCATGTAATTCACCAGAAAATGATAAAGAAGATTCTGAAGGTAAAGAAAAAAACTTCAAATTCCTTAAACATAAATCATAAAAATTGCTGGCGATAGTGTATGTGAAATACATTAGTTTGAACAATGACATTTCAATATTTATTTTCCACACTTAACATTTGTTAGCCTGCTTACATCCCAGTATGGAAAGAAATCATTCTAAGCTGCTTATTTTTCTCCACGATGGGATACCATATTACAAAGTGCTTTATTTTTTTTCAAAGTATTTCATTTTTTTAATTGAACACCTTACCACCGAGTTTTATAAAGCAATCCTTTTATTTGAAGTTTTCTTACTGGTGAATATTGTAGCTATCTCAAATGCTTTCTTCAGTCTCTCCTTGAATCTTTAATAGCAACAGAAACCAAAAAGGCAAATGCAACAACAAGGAAAAAATTCAGTTAGAACAGTGTAATTCTCACAAACTTGCAAGGAAAATAGTAATAAAAATCCTACCCTATAAAAATCATTGGTTTTGTAAATGCTTATGGTACTTGTTACTGAAGAGTCTGTAAATAACAGCCATGGGCCTCAATATAAAAGAATATGGTTGTTTATGTTGATGTTTTTATCATTTCTCTCTTTTTAGTTGTTTTAAATTGATTGTCATATACAGAATGGCCCAGGGCAACAGCTAGAAACAAATGTAAATCCAAAGAAAAATATAAATGTAAAAAAACCTAGATATACAAGTGCAGGGATAAAGGGAACATTTATCCTCAGTAGAGAAGCCACAGTGTTGCACATTTATGCTTTGCTACACTGAATAGGAAGTTTTGTGTTGAAAGGGCTTTTGGAAAAATAAAAGGAAATCTTACATCAACTTGGAATTAATATTTATATTCTTATTTTTCACAGGATACTTGGAAAATGAATTTTTCATTAGCATTAATCCAGACTGTTTAGAGTAGTGGCTAACTTGACCGGTACTATATTTTGTCTTTTAAGAAGTCTTTTCTAGAACACTTATTTTGTTTAGTGCATTTACACTATCCTATTCTTTCTATTTGCCATTCACCGACCTGCTTTAATAGACTTAGTTTGTCTTAATCCTAATTGTGTTTGAATGTTTCAAGACTATAGAATTTTCCTTTAAAGATTTTATTATTTATTTATTTATTTATTTATTTATTTATTTATTTATTTAACAGAGAGAGAGCACAAGCAGGGGGAGCAGCAAAGGGAGAGGGAGAAGCCGACTCCCCACTGAGCAGGGACTCAACCCCAGGACCTTGGGACCATGACCTGGGCCGAAGGCAGACGCTTAACCCACTGAACCACACAGGCCTCCCTATCACTTTCCTTTAAAACAGCATATGCTTATACCAAGGAACTCTTTTGTTTAGGTTCCAAAGACAAAAACCATTTACTGTACCAGACCTTGGTGTAAGAATACTTGTCAAATTGTTTGGGTGTAAAACGTGAGTTTTTAATACCTTTTTTTTAAAAAAATAATGAATATTAAATGTCTCAATTCCATAATAGGTAGGTGGTTGTTCTTGAGTTTTCTCTTTATAGTCGCTTAAAAGAGCAGTTGAGCAAAGATCTAGATACAATCAGTTTAAATGTGATTGCTTGAAATTATTTCATTCTTTCTTCACATCTCTGGTTACACAGATGAGGCTGATCCTGCTGTGTCACTGTGAAGATACGGCTTGATACTTTAAGAAATGCAATGCGGTAAAAATTTTTAAAAAGGGATCATTTAAATAATATGCTTCCATCAAGGCAAGCATGCTTTGTGTGTGTGTGTATATGAGTTTATAATGTGTTAATAAATGATCATTTAAATTAATTTGTGCAAAAAATAAATAAATAATAAAATAAAATAAAATAATTTGTGCATGTCATCCTTGCACAGGGGCCAGGCTAATCTCCTCTACACCGTTCCAATTCTAGTATATGTGTTGCCGAAGATATTCAAATCAATTTTTAAATTATGAAGAATACTTAGATAAAAGTCAGAAAAATAAACGAATGTAAAATTCACTGAAAACATCATAGAAATAGAACAGAAACCTAAGACCTGAATTGACATCTATCTGTCAGTGATTTAAAGCTTGGTAGCTTCACTGCAGAGCTTTCTTCTGAGTTCCAACAATGTATCTCCCCTGCCACTGGATATACCATGTAAGGCTCAAAATAAATTTGTAAGGAGCTACCATATGCAGTGGCATCTTTCATATTTTATTACACTTAGCCCCTGCTTACTCTTCATAATAACCTTTAAGAACTTTAACTAGTTCTCGAGGGATCGTCTGTCTCATTATCTTGCACACCTCAAGTCATAGACCTAGTCAGTCATTGCTCAGACCGTGGTAATTAGTCCAGGAGACAGACACCTGGCCCAAAGAGACCCAATAACATCCTTTTCGATAGGCTTTTTTTTTTTTTTTTAATTTGGCTTTTCTTCCTCTGTGATCACTGCCTCCAAATTACAGGCAGCCGTATTGTCACCCCTTATGGGAAGTGTTTGGGAATTAAGCTACGCAAATAAATCAGATCCAAGATATGTAGGAGAAACAACGACAGAGATACTGGTTCTGGCAGTGACTGTCATCTGATTAAGTCTTTGAAAATATCAGAGACACGGATCAATTGGTTATGTTTACGGTGAGGTCTGCCTCTCAAAACTGAGGAATTCCTATCTTCTTCACTCATTGTGATCCACAAACTTGTTCCTCCTTCTCCATTAATAAGGGAGCATGAAGTTACCATCCTGGTTTCCCTACTAACCTCTGATCTGATCTGGGACAGACTTTGAGGGTATATGTTACTTTATCTGTCAAAGGGAAAACAAGGGTTACTTTCCAGCATTGGTTTTGAGGATAAAAGGAGCCCAATGCCTGCATTTTGATAGTGATCAGTTATCCACACAGAAAAATCACCTTTGATTTTTCTTGGCCATTCCTTACTTTCATCATCCTGCTCATGAGTCTACCCTTTCTTCACTCTTACCTATTTGGTTCTAAGTATATCTTAGTAAACTATGGACCTAACAAGAAACTCAAAATCCCTGTGGCCTTTAGCAGGAAACATTCCCTTTCCTCTCATGGTAGAGGGCAGCCATCATGGGTAGCCCGCCACAGCTCTGCACATGCATGCTCACCAACTGCCCCCCGGGCTGAAGGAGCAGCCCTTCTCTGGGACATGCTGTTCTTACTGCAGAAGGAAATGAGTCAGTGAAATGAAGACATGACTGTGGACTCTTAGAGCATTTCCCTGGACCTGACATTCTGGTTCTTCACCACAGGTCCTGGGTGCAAATCACCTGGCCAGGCCAGTCAGCGGGCCAAGGAACTAGAGCTTACCTCCAGGGAGTCACTGAAAGTCACAGGAGGACTAGGGCTGGAGCACAGAATAAGACGACCTACCACGGTCAGGCTCCATTCAGGTCTCAGCGAGTTTATGGTACAAATGATGAGCTTTTTCAGGCCTTCATTCTATTCTGACAAAATATACTTATGTATATATTTTGTCATAATATATATGTTATATATGTTATAACATATATATTATGACATTATATTACATTTATATTATATATTATATATACATTTATATTATATATAATATATTATACATAATGTATTACATTTATATTATATATTATGACATTATATATATATATTTTGTTAAAATATATCTATCTATATATTATATATCATATATATTATATATTATATATATTATATATATTATGACATTATATATATTTTTTTGTTAAAATATATATATCTATATATTTCTAAAGAACGTATCCTTTCATACCACTCCCTTACTCCCTTATTTAACATCTTTCGGCTGGTTTCCATCATCTTAAAAATAAGATTCAAACTTTCTGTGGACAATAAATCCCCAGCTTGTTTGCTTATTTTTACCTGTTGACACAGCTGCATATGTTAGATTCTATTTCCTAAATACTTTTCACTTATCTCCATATCTTTACATGATTTTCCCCTTGCCTGAAATACTATCTTCTCATCTCAACTTCTGTTTTTTGTTTTGTTTTGTTTTGAATTTTTTTTTAAGGGATGTAGGAGGAGAAGACAGACCTCAAAACCAAAACAATTTCACCTCATGTAGGTTTGGTGATCACCCTCTCGCCATCCAAAGCATTATCGTAATTAAATCTTTATCCTTTAGCAAGCAAATCAATAATGTCTATCAATAATACTGTTGGATGAATGTTTACATTGGTGAATATTTAGTGCTAAACTTAAAAAAAAAATGACACAATAGAATCGAATTTGAATTCCAGCAGACAATCTTGTCGTTTTCATGGTATCAAGTTGTCAACTTGGATTGAACATCCACTTACAGTCCTTCCCCATTTAACTTGTCACCTTCCCAGTAAATGGCTTGGGAAATGAAGTAGACAATAGCTTTTGATTTTCAACATACCATTTCAAGAATTTTCTTTCAGTTGACCTAAGAATCCCATATACTAATGGAGATTTTCTAAATAGGTACTCTTTTCCTCTTTCTAAATATACTCCCTTCTTCTTTTTCCAATCATTCCCTGTGCTATTGTTTGTCTACCCTTGATCTTTGGCTTCACTCAGTTAACTACTATTATTGATATAGACATATTGAAACAAAGAGTTCACATTGTAAAGCATGACTAACCTGCAAGCATACTTTTAATCATTATCGTAAATGTTCAAAACTACCCCACGAGATCAGCTCTCTTATTATCCATATTTAATTGATGTGGAAATTGATTTAAAGATATATTAATTATGTGCCCAATTTTACACAACCAGTAATCTCTAGGAAGATAGCAGTAGTCTCTAATGAGACCAGTTAAATATCTCCTTTGTTCCTTGCATTTGTTCTAGACCAAGTGACCAAAAGACAAAGGGGTCATAGATAGAAAATACATTATCATTTTTATTAACGAAGAAGTCTAAATTGAAAGACATGGCTTATGTTTATAGGTAAGTAGATCTACTCATAATAAACTCCACTGTAGGGAAACAATGGACCAGGTCAGATCTCAGCTTTGAAGATTTCGCCCAAATACATTAATGTCATGGCAAGGAGGAGCAAAGGCATTTGTTCACCTCAAAGAGGTTACTGCCAGGAGGAAACTTCGATGAGACCACACTATACATTTTCAGTGTTATTATTTCAAGATCTATCAATAAAATATGGTTTTCTACTTATTTGGGGCAGAATGAGTAAAATACCAAGAAAGGTCAAAGTCACCTAATAAGATCTTTTATACATGGGGGAGGGGGGCGCGGCGGGGGCTCCAGAGGTAAGAAGTATTGTTTCCTTACAATGATTATTTCTCATTTTCTCTTACACTTTTCTGCCCACCCCATTATGTTCAGCTGATAACTCTGCTTCATACTTCATCGAGGAATATTAGTAGCTAACACTCATACTTACTCGGGACCAGACACTATTCTACGAGCTTTAATATATTAAGTCTTTTAATGAAATGGAAGCCATCATGCAGACACTCCCTCTGTTACATCAGGCCAAATTGATAAAACTTCTTCCCTTCTTACTTGTATAATCTTTCTCTGATGTCACCGGGGATGAACTTTTCTGCTTCTATAATGGGCCAAACATACAACTCCAAACCCACACTCATGCTTTGGATCAAATCTGCCCTTACTTCCTTAAGAACTTCACTCTTGAAACCCCCACAACTCTTCTTTGGTATTAATCTGGCTTCAATATACTTCCCCATCAACCGCTTCAATGGCACTGACCTTATCAGATTCAACAGCTTCCATAATGTAAAATCCTGTATTTTTCTCTTGGCATAGTTCTTATTCTTAGCATCATTTTCCTTTTTTCAGAACTTTATCTTTCTAAAAATACATTTCTTTTTTGACATAATATGCTGACATGAGAGTATTTTTTTCTTTTTTTTAATTTTTTACTCACTTCATCCATCCTGTATTTTTCTCTTGGCATAGTTCTTATTCTTAGCATCATTTTCCTTTTTTTTTTTTTTAGAACTTTATCTTTCTAAAAATACATTTCTTTTTTGACATAATATGTTGACATGAGAGTATTTTTTTCTTTTTTAATTTTTTACTCACTTCATCCTTTTTGCTGGACCCTCTGTCTTCTTTAACAACTTTATTTATTTTTATTTTTATTTATTTATGATAGGCACACAGTGAGAGAGAGAGGCAGAGACATAGGCAGAGGGAGAAGCAGGCTCCATGCACCGGGACCCCGACGTGGGATTCGATCCCGGGTCTCCAGGATCGCGCCCTGGGCCAAAGGCAGGCACTAAACCGCTGTGCCACCCAGGGATCCCCTGGACCCTCTATCTTCTAACTAAATCTAAATGTTGGGATTTCCCAAAACATATTTTTAGCCCTGCCTTCCCCTAAATTTTTTAGATTCATCTAGATTTGTGTGTCCTCAAAATATGTCCCTGCATATAGGCCTTCCACTGTATGTCACAAAATAGCTTTTCTAACTACTTTCTTAAGATCTCCTATGGTATTTTTTTATATATATATTAGCATGCATTGTATCTAAAACTTGATTGCCTTCCCTCAGACTTGCTTCTCCCAAATTCTTTTTATCTCAACAAATGACTCTACCATTGATACAGATGCTGAAGCAAAAACTTATGAGGTCTTTGTTCCTCTCTTTCACTACACTGTCACATCCAATGCAAACACAAATCCTTTCAGTTCTATCGAAAAATAAAACCTATCTTTTTTCCATTTCCACTGCCACTTTATTGGTCCTAGTCACATGGATTATTGCAATAGCCACCTAACTGGATTCTCTGCTGTTCTTTCTGTACTTCTGCAATTAGTCAGATCTTCACATGGTTTTAAGAATGACTATTTAAAAATTTAGTTTGTTACTTCTCTGGGAAAAAAAAAGAGGTAGCAAGTAGAGAAAAATATGAACAACTTTTTATGAGCTGCATGATT